TCCCTGGCCCTCCCTCCCCCTTCCCCCCCAAAGCAGCATATCCCCAGGGAACAGCAAGCAAGATGAAAGTGAGTGTCCTGACAGAATTTCACACTCAAGAGCATACTCACTCCACAATCAGGCTGGAGCGACAACATTCACTCTGTCCCCACTCTCATGTCACCATGTTCCATGTTCCTCAAACACACCTAGCTCTTTCCCACCCCCTCAAGTCTTTGCAAGAACAATCTCCTTTGCCTGCAACACCCTTTTCTCCTATTCCTATGAATTCACATCCTCTCTGATGAGTGTCTTTATGAGATGTGAACAAAACTTCGGTGAGTGTTACTACTGAATGGCATCTAGCAGAAAGGTGATCTCACAAAAGCATTATGGTTTTCCCTCATCCACCTTCTTCACCAGACCAGGTGCTGGGAGACTTCTAGCTCTTACGACCACAAAAGATTTTGAATCAATTCAGGACCTCGAGGTAGTCATGACATGCAACAAAAGACACTCACAAAAGAATTCCAGAACCGGTTCAGAGAGTGGCAGGAAAGATGACACCAGTGTGTTTAAACTGTGTGTGTGTGGGGGGGGGTACTTTGAAGAGGATTAATAGCAATGCATCTTTTACTGTAATACATACTCAAATACAAACATTCACCACATATTTCAACCATACCTCATATTTAAATCTCTCCTTTAAACATCATTTTTTTAATTCAAACCTCAGCCAACCCTCCGAGGAGTCTTCCATGGTTACGTACCTTCACTAAAGTAACCTCCTTCCCCAATACCAGCACCTAATTTATTCCTTATTTCTTTCCTGACACATTCCACAATCTACTAATTTTCTATCCACTTTTTTATTGCCTCACTTTTTGTCTGTATTCTCAGAAATGATATAAACAGAATAAAGTCAAAAGCTGTGTTCACCTTGGTCACCATTTGTTACAAACAGTAGGGGCTCAACAGATTTTTGCTGAAAGATTGAATAAAGCAATCACAGTATATAAAGACAACGAGAGAGAGGGAGCCACTTCATCAGAGACAAAACAATCTTTTTTTGGACCCGGGATTTAGCTCAGTGGTTCTGCCACCTGCCTCGCAAGCACAAGGACCTGAGTTTGATCCCCAGTACCAATAAAGAAAGAATGAATGAATGAATGAATGAATGAAAGACAATCTTTTTTCTGTATACAATATCATAACCAGGAAACAGGTGCTTTAACTGTTAATAATATTAGATGAGAACATTAGCTCATTCTTCTGATACATTTTGATTGACCATAACACTTATTCTATAGGTCCTGGATAATCAATCCCATTTTGCCAGGGGCACCTGACCCTACAAGACAGCAAGTTGACATCCTTGTGAGATGTCGACACAGGAAAAGCCACTGGCAGAGGCAGATGTGTCTGTTTTAGAACATGGGGGTGGGAGTCTACATTCTGTTTTAACTTTGCAAGTCTCAAAGAATTCTTTCATGACAGTACACAGAGAACTACTTCGTGAAAATAAATAGCCACAGAGTAATATGGACTTAATTGCTTGAATTGCTACATGAGCTAAAATAAAACAGCTGTGATCACATTCTGGGGTAAAAAATCATTGTTCAACGAAGACTTCTATTAAAGATCACCCCAGTGATGTGTTTGGGTTTCTAAAATCAGGCATACCACTTCCTGGACCGCCCATGGTATTAGGGTAGCTGTGATTCCAACTGGGGAGGGCAACTGAGTTGAAGAAATATTGTCCATGCCACAGGGCACAGGACTGTTTGATAGATTCTTTTCCACCTAACTACACAGCTCGAGTTACTCAAATTTACTAAGCAAAACAAATTCCTTTCATATTTCTATAATCTCAAGGCACAGGAAAGGTGCTGGGTGGTTGACGGCTGTGGAGTTCCAGTTCACTACCAGATGAGACAAGAAGCCTATTCCATCCAAGTCTTTCCTAAGCCATCTTAGTGCAAGAGCTTCGACCCTAAGAATGCAATTCCAAGGCACCAGCTTTGATGCTCGCAGGATTAGAAGCCACCTTGAGATACTCACAAAGCCACAGAAGTGTCCACCTAAAATTCACATATATGGGTATATTAGCGCAAAGTTTGAAACCTAGACTACAAAAGCACAAATGCCCTAAAACTATCCATGAAACACAGAGGCTCAGAATTACTACTTTGAAATGCAGAAGCAGGGCTTGTGACGGTGGAAACTAAAAACCCAAGTACTTTTTTCTACCAATCAACCACCATCATACATCCACTTTAAATATCTCTACCATAAGCTGCAACCCAAACATTGACCCATTTGCATGGTTTTGAAATAGGCCACCCTTATATAAAAGCAATTAGATAGAAAGGGTAGCTTAAGGCAGGGGAGTAGGAGAGATACTGAGCAGAAGCTCAAATTGCAATATTCTATCCCAGTACTTTGCAAGCCATTGGTCCTCAAAATCAAATGTACCTAACCTGGGGAGACTATCTGGAAAGGCACATTTCTAGGTCTTGTCTGGCTTCTGATTCAAAAGGAGGCTGTAGCTTTATTAAACATTCAGGGGATTCTGAAGCTGGAGGTCATTTGATCATAAGTGAGTGCCCCATATTTCACCAATTGAATCATTTTGATGGTTTCTAATGATGCTTCTCAGTGTGTGAGAAATCCCAGTTTCAGGCTCCAAACTACCTGTTCCTGCCTTTCGTATCCAGAAGTAGCGCAAATACCTCTGTCTTGTGAGTTCCAAAGGTACCACTGTTTTCTCCAGCCCACATTCCCCCCCTCCCAAGGAAAACTTCCACGGAAGAGTTGTAGTGAAGAGTTGACAGATGATTCCGAGACACAGAACTGAGCCATTGCTGATTATCAATTGATAAGCAGCTTTAATTGCTTCTGTGATGTCTCTTTGGCCACTTACCAAAATCTTTTCTGCAGCAAGGGTCTGCCTTTTCCTTCTCTAGGATGCCTCTCTTAAAGAAATAGAGATAACATTTCTCATTTGTTCTCTAGTCATTTCATATCTCTTGTAAACTGTTTTTTCCTATCTCATACTCATTTACTAGGTCTTTGAGAGGAAAACAAGCTTTAAACATCTCTTCATCCCATGAAAAATAAAATCAGTTATAAACACACAGCGGATGCAATAGCATTTGTTTACTGGGCCATCATCTAGCGCCCACTTGTCTTTAATCTTTTCTGCTAACTACTAGTACGCCCTCCTCCAGCTTCAGATGAGGTTCACCCTATTTCAACAGTGGGCATATGATCTAGATACATCCCTTGGCAGCAATGATTGGTCCATGATTGCCACATGACACATGTTGGGCCAATGAGATTCAGTCCTAAACCATCTACAAGTACAACCAAGGAAGTAGTCTCTGTGGTTGCTGGTGTTAGGGAGTTCCTGCCAGTCATCTTGTTACCACTAAGGGAAGAGCAGTCCAAGAAAGGAACAATACAGATGTGAACAACGCAGAAAGCCACAGAGCCAAGGGCTAAATTCTAGAGACCTAGTGTTGGATTCAGCCACACCAGAAGCTGGTCTTATCTTCCAAATTTTTACTCTCAGTATATTGCTAGGGATGTGAAACAGGATTTGAGCCCATTTGAGTTTTATATCTATCACTTCGGCTGAAAGAGTCCAGATTTATTGAATGCTCAGTGACTACCGATTGGTTGGATTAACAACCAGTTTTACCTCTGGTAAATGTTGAACATTTTGAGGTTCTTAATGCCTATAATATGTCTCCCTGCAAAAGGTCAGCATTTTAACTTCTGTCATGGGCAAGGAGATTCAGTCATAAATGATGGCCTCTAGAGTAAGACAACTGAATCTGAATCTTAGCTCTGCTATTTACAACTCGCAGGTCCTTGGACAAGTTACTTAAGCCTCCTTAATTAGAGGGGCACCACAGTGAAACACACGCAATGCTACCGAAGTATCTTTTTCTCAGCATGGAAGATGATGAATAGAGAGCGAAGTCAGAGGCAAGGAGACATCGACGATGCTCAGGCAACAAACGGCACGATAGCTGAGGGTTTAAGGCATCGTCATTCAGGGTACAGCACAGGCTGCAAAACACTGCAAGGCACAGTGGCAAATTGAATTTGAGGTATGGGGAAAGGGGAGAGAACCAGGCTGTTGGAAACTGGCTCAATGGCTTTGACGAGATACATTCGAATAAGAGATATGTGTCTGCTAGGCAGACGGTGGGCTGCTCTGAAGTTCTAATTTATCTGCTCAGTGATTTCTGACCACACAGCTTTTGGGGTAGATGAGTGGCTTCCATCCTCTTGAAGCACTTGAGCAGCTAGCTTCCCTCTCCCTGGCACCAGAAGGAGAACTTTCTAGCAGCTGAGGTTTCCATAGCTCTGATGTAAAGATGATTTAACTCAAGCTTTACAGGTGCCCTAGGCATGGTATATTAGGCGATTTTAGGTCAATTACAGGATGAATAGCTGTGCACCGGCAAGACATTAAATAACCCTGGGTCACACAGAGAGAAAGCTGTTCTTTCTCAGCCCTCTCCATTATTTTGTCAAGAAAAAGAAAACAAAAAAACACCTCTTTCTGAGGACAACAACTCTACCACCTCTTTCTAGCACTTGGCAGTTGCTAATCCGCTTGTTTACTTGGGATCAGGTTTCAGGCTCAAAACCTTCAGGAGGCCACCATGGTCTCTGGCCAGAATTTAGTAATATTGTGATGACTTTGTTGGATTTATTTTTACACATGCTTTCTATTTATAGCAAATGGACTTTGTTTTCCGGTGCTATAATAGCCCTTTGCTTTTTTTTTTTTTTTTCAGATATGTTTATTTTGTTCAGTGACTCGGTTTAAATGAAACTAAAGAAATGTGGCTCACAGCCATCTTAGCCAGGGTTTCTATGCAGGAGTAGCACACACGTTAAGATCACACCTGGCTGCTAAAAGCCTTCAGGGGCTTGGTGAAGGCCTCGTATGTCTGAGTGCTACGCAAACACATGTCCAGCCCTGCCTGGCTGTGAGGTGGGCGACCCCAGGAGCCCAGCGCGGTCTCCTAAAGGACCCTACAATCTTGGAGTTTGTTTTGCTGCCCACTCCTCTTTGCCACGCCCTTCTCCCTCACCTCTGTGGCTCGTTTATTTCTCCACTCAGGCTGCAGCAAAATCTTCAGCGCAGTGGACCAGCTGCCACCAGGGTGTTCAGTTTCAAGAGCAGTCTTTTGTTTAAGAAGCTGACTTTTCAGAAGACACACTTGAGGCTGGCCAGGAGAGGGTCACTAAACTTCTCCCCCTAGTGGATCTGTGTTGAGCTGGCAGCGCAAGGATTGCCTGAGCCTTGAGCTGTTTGAGTTTCTGTCAAAAGCAGCATTAAAAATAAATAAAATAAGGCATCAGCCTGTGTGGTGCCTGCCCTGTGTATTTTTTTGTAATTTAAAAGCAACTATCATGTGACATCACTTTGGAATTTGTGAAAGCATGGCATTTGAATAGCAGAGAGTCAGCACACATCTTGGAGTAAAAATAAGCACCATCCAACTCCACCGACGAGGGCTATGGCTTCTGACTTTCCATCTAGCGTCTTCCTCTTCCAGCCCCTTCAGATAAGACTGAATATACGTGAATACGTTTAAATATGGCCAACTGATCTTTGGCAAGGGTGCAAAAACAGCAAATGGAGAAAACTTTTCAGCAAATGATTCCAGAGCCACAGAAAATCTACATTTAAAAAAAATCTTACACACTTCACACACACACAAATTGACTCAGAATGGATCAGAGATAGAAAGAAAAATACTAAAAGATTAAATTCCTAGAGGATAACATAGAAGGAAAATCTAGATACCCTTGAGTTTAACAATCATTTGTTAGATGCAACACCAAAAACATGACCCATGAAAGAAATAATTAGTGGGCTGGATTTGGTTATAATTCAAAATTTCTGCTATCAAAAGACAGCATCAAGAGAATGAGAACACAAACCATAGACTGGGAGGAAGTTGCCAAAGATATATCCGATAGAAGGCTGTTATCCAAAATACAGAAAGAACTCTTACAACTTGGTGACAAGAAAACAATCTGATTTTTAGAATGGGGAAGAAAGACCTTAACAGATAACTTTTTCAGCTGGCAAATAAAATAGAGGAAGTTTCTAGACATCCTATGTCATCAGGGAGCTTCAATGAAACACAATAACAAGATACCACTACATCCCTATTCGTGGGAGCCAACGCCAGAGCTGTAACCATACAAAAGGCTGGTGAGAGTAGAGCAGGAGTAGTTCTCACTCACTGGAGTTATTCGAGTAACACAAAATGGCACAGCTACTCTGGAAGACATGTGGTGGTCTACAGCTCTAAATATATTCTTGCCATACAGTCTAGTATTCATGCATCTTGATATTTATCCAAAGGAGTTGAAAAGTCACAGCTACATAAAAATGTATACACTAGTGGATGTAACAGCATTTTCCACAACTGCCAAAACATAGAAGCAACCAAGGTGCCCTTCACTAAGACAAATTTGAGAAGTTTTTGGACAGATAAACTGCAGTGGACATCCAGATTATGGAAAACCATTCAGCATTAAAAAGAAGTGAGTTAGTAA